CCCCTCTCTTTCCCCGTCCCTCCCTCTCGATCTCGCTCGCTCTCTCTCTCTCTCTCTCTCTCTCTCTCTCTCTCTCTCTCTCTCTTTCTCTCTCTCTCTCCGTCCCTCCCTCTCTCTTGCTCCTTCCCTACCTCTCTCGCCTCTTCCCCCTCCATCTATCTCCGTCCCTCCCTCTATCTCTCTCTCTCTCTCTCTCGTTCTTCCCCCCCCCCACTCTCTCTCTCTCTCTCTCTCTCTCTTTCTCCGTCTCTCCCTCTCTATCTTTCTCGACCAAGACGCACGGCATTGCCGCTGACCTCACCTTCCCGGTTCTTCGTCTGTCGTCTGCATGGAACCTCCTCCTCCCTCCTCTAGTCTCGTCTCCACCTCCTCGCCACTCTCCTCCTCCCTCCTCTCGTCTCGTCTCCTCACCACCCTACTCCTCCCTCCTCCCGTCTCTTCTCCACGCCACCCTACTCCTCCCTCCTCCCGTCTCTTCTCCACGCCACCCTACTCCTTTCTCCTCCCGTCTCTTCTCCACGCCACTCTACTCCTCCCTCCTCCCGTCTCGTCTCCACGCCACCCTACTCCTCCCTCTTCTCGTCTCCACACCACTTCCTCCTCCCGTCTCCACGCCACCTCCTCCTCCCTCCTCCCGTCTCGTCTCCACACCACCCTACTCCTCCCTCTTCTCGTCTCCACACCACTTCCTCCTCCCGTCTCCACGCCACCTCCTCCTCCCTCCTCTCTGCTGCTGCTGCTACTAGCTACTACTACTACTACTACTACTACTACTACTACTACTACAACTACCACCACTACAACCACCACCACTACTACTACTACGGCACCCACTGTGTTGTTGTTGCCAGCATCCTTGCGTCTATCGGACGCGAACGGGTCGAAGGTGAACCCCGCTCTTGGCTTCTGCGCATCTGTCATCAGCATCGCGTCGTGACGCACGACAAACAGCAGCATTTGTCGCACGCCGAGCAGCGGCGGCGACGCTCCGTCTGCCTGGCCGACGACGACGAGCGCGTACCACGACACGAACGCCGTCGTCAGCAGTGCAGCGACGACGACGACTATGCGGCGTCGGCAGCCGAGCGAGCGCGCGGCGGGAGCGAGCAGTAGAGACAGTGACGATGCCATGGTTGATCTCGGAGATTCGCTGCGAAATACGGAGAGAGGACGTCAACGCGGTGTGCGTGCGTAAAGTGGTTCCCGTGAACGTGGGGCGAGCACGCGTCGTGGGGTCGTTCAGATCACGCGAATCCGTGAACGCGTCGTGAATTCATTCGGTGAACGTGTCGTGAGCGCGTGTGCATATGAAGTCGACGTGATCACCCTAATCCGTGAACGCGTCGTGAATTCATTCGGTGAACGTGTCGTGAGCGCGTGTGCATATGAAGTCGACGTGATCACCCTAATCCGTGAACGCGTCGTGAATTCATTCGGTGAACGTGTCGTGAGCGCGTGTGCATATGAAGTCGACGTGATCACCCTAATCCGTGAACGCGTCGTGAATTCATTCGGTGAACGTGTCGTGAGCGCGTGTGCATATGAAGTCGACGTGATCACCCTAATCCGTGAACGCGTCGTGAATTCATTCGGTG